GTGTGTTATATGTGATGCCTCATTTTCTGTTAATTGACAATCTGTGTCAGAGTACTTGTCTCTCTGCTTGCTTTCCTTACCCAACTGTGTGCAACTCCGTTTGTGTTTCTCTGATTGCATAAGCCCCTTTACCCCTTTGATCCCCGAGTAAGGTTTTTATTCTTGTTTTCGTTCTAAGTTTGTTGTTGTGGTTGTTTTGGGTCTTTGTTGTTAGTTTTGTTGTTAGTTTTTGGGGGTGGGATGTTTTGTTTTAGTTTTGATGGTTGCTGTTTTTGCGTTTTTTTGTTTTGGTGGGTTTTTTTGTGTTTTTGGTGGGTTTTTTGGTTTGTTTGTTGTTTTTTATTGTGTGTGGTTTGGGTTTTTTTTTGGGGGGGATCATATTAGATTAACGTCCTTCTGTGTACCAAGACATATGTCTATATTATGGTTAGCGTCAAGAAAATCAAAGAAGGAAAGAAAGAAGTCAGAGACGGTAGGCCAAAATAAATATGGAGCGTGCACAGCTTACGACAGACGGTGAACCAGCTTTATGCCACTTTGTGTGTTGTAAGTCTAAATGTTACCCCCCCCCCCCTCACACACACATCGAACCCACGATAGAATGTCATCAAAAGAAAACCACATACAACTGAGAAATTATCTCTTTCGCATGGTATTTCTATTTTCAGTCGCAACCAGATTCTGGTGCGAGACAGCAACAACTCGGACTGGATCTACGTTGTTCTCAAAGTAAGTCGACACAGATTATAAGCCTAGATATCTATATCTATTTCGTCATGGTTCAGAAATCAGAAGTTTGAATTCGGAAAAGTACGTCCCATTGTACTGTTCAGTGACTTTATGTTGTTCCCTGATGGTTTTAAATCTTTTACTTCTGCCATTTTTGTGCCTCCACTATGTCGGCTTGATAAAATATTTTACCTGGAGTTTAAAATTATAATACTACCTTTAATAAAGAAAGCATCCTCTAAAAAAAATTGCCATTTTGTTTTAATCTCAAATGACCCACCAACCGCTGAAGACAGTTAACCTGATAGGTCTGCTCCAAACTTGAAATTTTTTGTCCAATCGTTTGAAAAGGATTTGCCCTCTTTTTAGCAAAATGCTGCGCACACTGCCTTATCTGTCGTGATTAATTTAAAAGCTCTATCTTCGCCGGAGCAGTATAGAGAAATTCGGCGTCTAGTGTTTGATTAACTTATCAAAATGTAAACAATTATGTTTAAAACTGACAGTTTTTATCAGTATGAATACAAAAATATTTTGTACCTACTTTACATTTTGCATAGACATATGTCTTGGTACACTGAAGGACGTTAATCTAATATGACCCCCCCTCCCCCTCCCCCCAAACACACGCTATAAGTTGATAGTAGCGTGTTGCCAAAGTTTCTTCAAATGATACCCCATCTCGAGTGAAGAGAAAGGTCAATGGTGGGTTTTACCTCTAAACGCTGAAGATAAAGTGTAAAAAAGGTTTGCTTACTAGATAAAAGTACGTGTACCTTTTTGCGTGTTTATTATTATCCTATATCTGGTTGTTTGATAGGACATATTTTGTTTGCTGTAATGTCTGTTTTGGAGCGGGTTTTGTCATAGATCGGCCTACATGTTATGACAAAGGCTCGGGGTTCAAATCAATTGCTCTCTTATTTCAACCAACATGGTAGGTTAAGGCTGGTGTTTTATCTCCCCTTCATAGGAGGGGGGGGGGGGTCCTATCCTGTCATTAGATTTTCTGGTTTTCTAAAATATGTTGTTTTACAAGTGATATGAAGTGTAATGCCTCCTTCTATGTAAGAGTACCTGCCTTTTGTTTATAAAGTAAAAATTAGAATCTTCCATCCTATATTAAAGAAAAGCTCATAGGTTGTTTTTTTAAATCTTAATTTCTTTGACGTTTCCATCGACTCATAAGTGTTTTGAGAAAAGATCGGGTTACAGGCAGGGATCGTGGTTTTTATACAGTGTTGGCAAGGATTTTGGGTTCGTATATGGTTAGGGATCGGAGTTATGAGTTACTTGAAAAAGGGTTATGTCTTAGATTAGGGCTCAATTATCTGTGATATATTTAGAGATTACTTTTAGAGAATAAAGTCAAGGGATAAAATGTCAGTTCGTAGTTAGATTTAATAGTTTGTGCATTAAGCAAATCGTAACGCAAGGCTGCAACTACTGTAACCTAATTCTGTACTTCAATTAATAAACTCCATTCCTCACAGCTAAAGCCTGGTCCCTACCGTTACATAAATCCTAAGTCCTAAACCATAATAACTTTCTTTAATCTCTTATATATAAACCTATAGCCCCCAAACTAAAATCCCTAACCTCCTACGTGACTTATTTTGCCTTTGAAATTATTGAAAAGATAGTATGTCGGGCATGATAGTATTAATTCATTTTTAAAGATATTTTCAAAGCTTTTAACGAAACGTAATATTACTCAAATGCCCATGACAATGTCTCAGGTTTGGCACAGAAGTTAGAGACGATTTTGTCCGTTCTGTCATGGCTGTACCACCTTTATTCATATTTATTGAAATGCCCGACTGGGATCAAATTAAAGTGTGGAAACATCAATGCAAGTTCCGATTTGAAGTTCTTTGACAGGCCGAGACGAATCATGTAAAAAAAAAAAAAAGATTGCTTTTTTGTACGACGTGAAAGCATGCTCAACAGCCCATGCTCTGGGATTGCAAATCTTTGAGCCCCTTAGATACAATTAAGAACCGTTTTCTGTTGACATTGAATGTCCTGGCAACAACAGAATCGTGCAATGATGTCAATGGTTCGATTTCTCTGGTGTTGAATTAACCTACCATGTGGGTGCCAATGAACAAAAAATTATTGCAGTGGTTCCTTTCTTTTGATCGCCAGTATATTAAACATTAAATTTCAGTTGGGCATTGGCAAAAATGGGGAAAAATGATAACACATTCATTTCTGTGCTTTTGCAGGGTAGCTTATCTGTGATAAAGAAGCTCAGACGTGTGGAGCCCAAGAACGAGCTTCTCACCCCAAGAAAAAGATGTCGATGTGAGTATTTTCGTGTAAACACTACCGTGATTATTACTGCACTGTGTGTTAGGCTAGAGTTTACAGCTGCTGGCAGAACAAAGGCCTATTTCTTTACTCCTATTTTAATACACAGGCCAGTCAAAAAAATATGGTCGTTTTACCTTAAAACGTTTTTTTTCCTCCCCTCCCCCCTTCCTCTCACTCTACACTATTCCTAGGCTTTCAGCGTAGATCTACTTTAAGATTATAAAAATCTCCCGAAATAAAACCAAACTCCTACAATTTCCCACCTTACAGTATCTTTCAGAGAGCCCAAACACCATTTTATGCGAAAGAATGTACCTCCGGGGGACAAACATCGCAGACACCGTTACAGCTCCAACGACATTCTCGACGATTACCCGGATGAGAACGGAAGCAGCTTTTCAGCCATGAGACGACGCTTCTCGGCAGACCTGGAAACTTACAAGTCAGCGTTTGAAGTAGAGTCGAAGCTGGTAAGCATTTTATGATCTTTACCATAATGATGATGATGATGATGATGATGATGATGATGATGATGATGATGATGATGATGATGATGATGATGATGATGATGATGATGATGATGATATCAAGCTAAAAACAACGGTATGAATGAACTTGGCTCTCATACCCAACTAATGAAAAAGAGAATACGGATTATTTAAGTTATATCCACGCTTGTTTCCGAAGCGGAAAGTCCGGTTTGGAGCCTCGGTTCGGACAAGGATTGTTTTCGCCCCCTCTTGCCCATCCAGAAGTAATGGGTACCTGATTTCGAGTTGGGGAAGTAAAGCGGTGTGGAGAGGAACTGACCACTCTACCACAATATGCCGAAAGCCCAGGAAGTTGTCTCACTAACAAGGCAATCCCGAAAGTCCGGATCAGATGCGGGAACAACTTTAACTTTAAGCTATATCTAAAACTCTCCACCCTCTTGACTGCATTCTACGGTAGAAAGTCTTTAAAATGTGCAGGTCCCTCCTCTTCAATAACTTGACAGTTTTTGTAATGGGATTAGGCCAATAACATTCTTTACCATGCCCTCATATTAAATCTACATTTCAAGTTCTTGGAGATCTGAAACGTATTTCTGTGTATCTGATTGTCCAGGAGAGTACCCTACCAGGGTACCACAACACCGTGGAGAGGCTGGGCTCTCTAAACTACGAGAAGATCATCCGGGATCATAGGTCAAGGTTACAGCTCAAAGGGTCACATACCGATGGACGCAGGAGTTATGTGACGGGTACGCAATCAAGGGATGTATCCCGTCAGGTAAGGGAACGGGAACAAGGAGAAGCTCTTCCCCTACGATCAAGAAATTGTTTATTTAATTATCTAAAAATGTTCCTCTTTTTTTGCTGTCTTCATCTCTCTTATAGTTATCAGTTGTCACTTTTACGTTCTTTCATTCTCGCTCTTGTGCTGTCTTTTCTCGCAGTCGAAGCGCAAATTGACTCCCAAACAACCAGCGTTGTAAACTAAGAGCGCATGCACACATACACACACACACACACACACACACACACACACACACACACACACACACACACACACACACACACACACACACACACACACACCCAAAGATACATGCTTAACATTACTATCAAGCCATCTTTGTGCTTTTGTACATGTATAATATGTATATAACGTGTATGAATGTAGAATAATATGACAATTATATATATATATATATATATATATATATATATATATATATATATATATATATATATATATATATATATATATATATATATAGAGTGCGTGTTTTTATGGTATCGTGTTCGCATTAAATACATTTTGCTACGTTTTTCCCCAGTCTGTGACTAGCGAAATAGCCAGTCCCTTACCCATCACCAACGTAGAGGTGGCAAGAACGGAGAATCAGAACGACGGTGCTGCTGGAACAGAGAGTGAAGACAAGATCAGGTATGCCAACGATTAGGTCTCTTGTGTGCTATACATTCTTGTTGTTGTTGTCATTTTTGTTATTGTTCTTTCCGTTATTGTCACCGTCATTGCTGTTGTTGTTACGGTTAATGATGTTAGTACTAGAATACGGCATGTGTTTTAATAGGCGACCATAAAACTGCAATTCATGCATGCCACTTTGATCAAATATGGATGAGCAATTTTCAAAAAGGTTAATCCAAACAGCACCTTAGAGGACCGCCTCAAAGCTACCGTGAGAATAAGACCTTTTTTTAAATTCTTCTTTAAATCATTGTTGCTGCACTGGAATCTGCCAAGAAGCAATCAGCACTGTAAGGAGAGAGATCCAGTCTCGTAGAAGACCGTAACAAGACTCTGACAGCCTTTGGCGGAAAAGCAAGTGCGCAGAGGACCTAACTGATGTCCAATAGTATCAATTGCAATATTATTGGTATAAAAGTTAATGGCAATAAGCCGGAAAAACTACTTATGAAGGATCCAAGCCGGAAATACTCTCAAAGACATCGCAGACAATTACAATACTGACATAACTAGAGGCCTTATGCAGTTATAGAAACAACTGATATCAACTCAATCGTATAAGTGAAGCACTTCTTGATCAATTTTGGTATCCCTGTACACTTTTGATAGGAAAGGAGACATATTAGGATAAACGCTATATAGCCTGGAATATTTTCGCAAACTTCTGAACCCTAACAAGACCACATCCATATTTTTTTAAAATCCAGAAATGGAACAGGGTGAGCCAGTAGGCCTGCTGAAGAACTCCTGACCACAGTAAGATAACGCAAACTTTAGTAATGTAGGAAGAATTGGAAATGCCAAACAATCAGATGGGCCTGCCGTGACAATTTTTCAGGGTACAGTAAAGGAAGGAGAAAATTGAGGCACAGGTTGAGGTGGGAATCTGATCGACGTTCTGAGAGAGTCTGAAACCAGATGGGAAGGGAGAAGCTGGTGGCTTCATCAACTGTGATATCCCGATGGTCGACCAGAATAGATGATGACAAAAGTAAAGTGAAGTTGCTGTCGTTATTGTAGTTATTGGTCCGGCAGCTGTTAGGTTTTTCTCTTCTCCCGGAAGACACAATGCTAACAGATGTGCATGTCTTCTTCAAATGTTGGATTTACGGTAGTGTTTTTAACTCGTGAAAAATCAAAAGAAAAACAAAATCCACATCACCCCTAGCCCATATGGACCCCTAACAAAATCCTTCCTACATCGTACATTGGCAACATAATATTATTTCATACTTTTCTGTCCTCTTGTACTGTGTCGAGAGGAAATGCAATTGTCGGAATTGAGCCAGGTGTATTGCCTTTTTGAGTCGTTATGTTGTTTCTGTGAGTCTATTTGCCTCCATCGATCTGTCTCTTTTCTTTGTCTGCCTCTTGCTTTGAAGCCATCGAACCTCATACCGTAGGTCTTTGGGGCTTGTTGCAGTGACCCCCATTCTCACGACGTGTTCAGCCATTTGATGTAATATCTCTCTGTGCATTACTTGCTCAATTTGATGCCAAATTATAGTCTGATGTCTTCGTTTCTAATATTCCTCGTTCCATAGCTCCCCAAGACGATCCTTCCTACCTCATATATCGAACAATAACAAAGTGGTGCAACAAGAAACTAGCCTGTCGCATGATCAACGACGATCACGTGAAAACGTAGATGTAAAAGTGGACGGGAATACAGATGGTGATGCAGACGATGAGAGAGTTTCACCGATGCCTGAAGGGGAGTATGAATCTAGGAGACAGCACAGGAAGAGAAAAAGAATAAGCAAGACCCAAAAGGTATTGTAAGCTTTAATTTTCTGTGTTCTTTCATTTGAAAAGAAAAACAACAACCAAAATCTCTATTTCGAGCCAAAAGAGTAACGAATCAAATCAACAACTGTATCAAAACTTTTATGACGATGACCAACTCATCACCAAAAACTACCCAACGTACATAAAATCCACGGCCAACATAAAAACATTTGGGAAAAATCAGACAAAATGAAAGTCTGTTTCCCCGATCCCCTCTAGTTGCATTTCGACAGCCCCCTAATCTTGGCAACCTCCTCATTCGTATTAGAGCAGTAACACTCACACCCTCACCTCCGATAAGCCCATGTACTTCGCCTCAAAATTATCCTTGTCAAAAACCTAGATGCAAAACATGTGCTTACATGAAAGTGATCAACTTTGTTGAAGGCCTCCACTTTAAAAGAAAACTTCCTCACAGCATCACCTGTGAAACCAAAAACGTAATTTACCTCATATCACGTAAAGTCTGTCCAGTCCAATATGTAGGTCAAACTATCACTACACATAGAGTTAGGTTTCATAACCATTGGTATTCAGTACAGAAAAACTCATGCACACCATCATGCAACATTTCAACAGTCCTGGCCACGATGGAGCCTCCGACCTGCAGCTTCAGAGTATTGAAATAGTTCGAAATCCTACCAATGAAAAACTAAATCAAAGACAATCAATGTGGATTTGGAACTTGGGGTCTCACCAAATTCTCAGTGGTCTTAACATCGACGAGCCACATTTCAGGGACCGAAAATTTACCACGTAGGGTACTAATCACACTATTTTTTAAGACTTTGTTACTATACAACTATTTCTACCATAGCTACTGTGATATTAAAAGGATTGTTTGTCCATCTATGTCCAATGTGGACAGATGCGGTGAAGACTGGCCTTTACTGTGGGGTGGAAGAAATACGGATGAGTAAAACGTGTACTTTTCTACCTAGGCTTTGAGCTCGTTTCGAGTGGACATAAGTTTCCTACCTGTGTGGAATTTAAAGTTTTAAAAGTTCCTTTCTTCATGTAGATATATGCCACTACTACTACTACTACTACTACTACTACTACTACTACTACTACTACTACTACTACTACTACTACTACTACTACTACTACTACTACTACTACTACTACTACTACTACTACTGCAACTTCCACTACTGCTACTACTACAGCTGCTGCTGCTGCTGCTACTACTACTACTATTAATTACCTTTACATTAATATTAATGGTTATATATGAGTTGACGTACATAATATTTTATATCCATACCACTTCTTGCCAAAGCCTTCAATTTTCTCTGGTCTTCCCGATTTGTTTTTATCGCACCTCTTGGCATTATGACTTGGATGCGCGCACTTTTGTTGCTTTAGCTTGTAGTTATAGCAAAGATAGTACATAACAAGATGGGCCACTTCTCTATTTGAGGCAATTAAAAAAGTGTCCTCAAAATTTGGTGGCACCCTCTTCACAAAAGCGCACTCTTTGCGAACAGAGTTGCTCTACTTGAGTTTTAAAAAATCAAAGTGAAACTAGCAAGTTTTGGGATAAATTTCGGAAGAACGCTTTTTTAAAATGGTTACCCTGACAAAAAAAACCTCTTCCCGAGGAAAGGGTGATGGTTTTCTTCGTTAATTTGACTTTAGAATGAAAGGTGAGAGGTCATTAAAATTTTTAAAAACCTAAAACTCCGCACTGAACGTATCCGAACTGCTGATGAACAGCAGTCTATCTGCGCACGCAAGGAGGTGCTATTCCTATTCTTCTTCTGGAAAAACGAAAGAGAGCTTCAAAACAGACTGCAGCGCCATCTGAAGCAAAGAGCATACTTCCTGCGGACACTTTTTTGGCTGAGTGGCCCATCTTGTTATTTACTATCATTGGTTGTAGTCATTAGATCTTAGCCTACATTATTTTTGTATCTTGTTCCTGGCGAAGCCCTTTACCGGGCGAAACGTTGGACCTGTATTAAATTTGAAAAATCTACAAGTGATGATGATGATGATGATGATGATGATGATGATGATGATGATGATGATGATGATGATGATGATGATGATGATGACACATCAGTCTAGAAATCAATGGGCCACATTAAAGAAATAAAAAAAAATTATCACCTTTAGATCACCCCTTGCTTTTTATCTCCAACCCCCTTTCCATCCTAAACCAAACCTACTCTATCACATTTATTGTTCCACATCTTGCAACCCCACTGCTGGAACCTCCCCTTACACAATTCTTTTAATGCAACCCAACAACAAATCTTCCTCTTTCCACTTTAACCTACCTCGCACAACCTCGCCAACTTGGCCCCTCTACTTCAAAAAGACATTCTCTCTTTAAATCTTCAACTCAACTGTCGCTTTCCACCGTGTTCCCATATCCCTCAGTTACCTTGTTTCTCAATTTGAGTACTGCATCCACTGCTCCTGCAATGTTTACGTTTCATTCTATACTTAGCGTCAATAAAAACCAGACACATTTTAATTGCGTGTTTCATGAAAAGTTGAAAACCCATTGAGCTGAAATTTTCCACACATGATTGTGAACACTTGACGCTCCTGATCAGCCTGCATTTATGATCAGGTGCCCAGTTAATAAAGCTCAGGTCTTGTTTTGTTAAAAACCGTGTTTTGTCATTTTTCTCGAACGTTTTTGGTTTTTTAAATTTTATGTTATGGGTTTAACACATCTTTTATCTGTAGCCAAGAATAAAACGTTAAATATTTCATTTCAAAACGTCTAAATCTAAAGATACAGCATGCCGCGTTTAACGAACGAAGAGCGCAATCAGGCAGTTGGTATGCTGAGGGCCAATACGCCAGTAGCGAATGTTGCAAGGACCTTCAATGTGACAAGAGACACGACATATCGACTAATGAATCGTTTGCAGACGTCTGGATCCGTGCAGGATGGTCCCCGGACGGGTAGTCCTAGAGCTACAACACCAGCCTATGACCGGTACATTCGGGTCTTGCACCTACGAGATCACTTCCGGCCTGCTACCAAGACAGCCAGGGAGTGGAAGGGACGGAGACTGTGCGCCGACACCTTAGACCTCTGCCGGTCACCTTGGATCAGCTACGTACAGCACTTACAAACATAATATGGAACAACATTCCACAGCTTCCCATACAAAGACTTGTGCGAAGCATGCGACAGAGCTGCACAGAAGTCGCCAATGCCCAAGGCGGCTATACGCGGTATTAACTGTGACTTTTCATTTTAGGGCCTACAATTAAAAGATCAAATTTCAGGAAATAAAGTTCATTTTTAAAAATTGTTTTTTGTGTTATTGATTTGCAAAATGTTCAAACTTTCCTTATAGAGAGATTGTTTCTGGTTAAAATCAGTCTTTCAATACAAAAAACACTTTAAAAAAGGGGTGTCTGGTATTTTTTGACGCCAAGTATACTTATTTGGTCCTAATATTTCATATTATATTATCACTAAATCCCTCTTCGTTTCTTGGTTGAACGACAAAGTTATTGTCCACCTTGCTCCTGGCACCTTCTTTTGTCTATGTACACCATTCTTGTAATTTTTATTTAATCGAGAAGAAGAAGAAGAAGAAGAAGAAGAAGAAGAAGAAGAAGAAGAAGAAGAAGAAAAAGAAGAAGAAGAAGAAGAAGAAGAAGAAGAAGAAGAAGAAGAAGAAGAAGAAGAAGAAGAAAAAGAAAAAGAAAAAGAAGAAGAAGGAGGAGGGGAGGAGGAGGAGGAGGAGGAGGAGGAGGAGGAGGAGGAGGAGGAGGAGAAGGAGGAGGAGGAGGAGGAGGAGGAGGAGGAGGAGGAGGAGGCGGAGGAGGAGGAGGAGGTGGAGGAGGAGCCCACGAAGACGAACAAGAAGAAGAAGAAGCAGAAGAATAAGAAGAAGAAGAAGATGAAGAAGAAGAAGAAGAAGAAGAACAAGAAGGTCGAGGAGTAGCAGGAGTTCGAGCTCCCTCAGGAGCAGCCGTAGGCGTAGGAGGAGCGCGTGGTGGTGTAGGAGGAGATGCATCAGGAGGAGTAGCCGGTTTTCGAACTTTAATTATAAGAAGGAGAAGAATAATCCTGTTGTAATGCTTTCCACCACTATGATTAACTCCTCCTCCGCCATATCTAGACTGGCCGTCGTTT